TAAAAAAAGTAAAATTCTCATATAAATAAAATAGAATATACAGGGTGTCCCAGAAAAAGTATTAGAGCCGAAGAGAGGTGATTCTGTAGATGTTTCTGAGCAAGAATTTCCTTTGGAAAAATGCAAAGTGAGGGATGGTTTTTTAATTATTAACACAAAACACTGACCAATGAGAGCACGTGTAGAGCTCATGCAGTCTTGGATGCGTTAACTCTCTTTTGAAATATCTTGGCAAATTCAGCGTTAGAATGTACTTACATCTTTAGCTGAATTTCGATACTCTTACTTTCTTATATTCTATCTGTCTTCGACTAATTTATATTTAAATAATATGAAAGACAATATTATAAAGTCCTACACAAACATGGAAGACGGAGCAGTCAGCTCATAAGTAGTTAATACGTACTACGTCAAGTCTGATCAGAACGGTCTCATTGTACTGTCCGCGTTTTAAAGAATTCTCCTCAACTCGCTCTCTGTTTTCTCAGACGTCTCCTGGCACCGGTGTTCAAGCATCACCACGAGAGTAATTGAAAAGCAGAATTTTTTTGTACGGTTTCGCAATTTCATAACCACTTTCGTATTTGCGATGAAGTGGGGCTTTTTAATTTTCTACTCATTTTTCGAAGCCGTGCCCGAAAAGAGCGGACGTGAAATCATATTCCTTTCAATTAACAGAAACACTAGTCGACCTTCCATTACGATTACATCGCTGCACGAATAAAGTTTGACCAAAATTTTTATTGTTACAATATAACAGTAATTTTGTCTGCGAAGCCTGGCATTGTTGATGAAACCTCACGCTGTGATACTTTACAAAGCATTAAACGGCTGCCTCTGACAAAAAGCTAGTATAACAGATTCGGACGAGCGTGAGCGTGAAAAAGTCAGTTTGAAAGCGCGGCTAAAATGGTACTCGCAGCGATGGGTGACAATTGCCGTTGCCAAACATAGGGATTAAATAATCGCGGCAAAGCGATGATAAAAAGAACGCGGACAAAGCTCGCCTTAGTTGGTGAACGATTGTGTTGTACAACGTTTCGGTTATCGTCGTTGAGTAGTCGGCTTAGGAGCATTGAGCAGGTCACGTGTCGGCTCGTGTCCACCGGATGTCACGGTTTTGTCGCATTTAACGCCTCTTCTCCGGAGCATTCACTCCGTGGTAAAAGCCATGGGCGTTTCCCTTTTCCGCCCAAATGATCGAACGACTGGTTCAAGTTCGTACCATGAGAAATATTCCGATCACCGATTCACCTGACAACTGAATTGGGACATGAAAACAAGCAAATTGTTTCTTTCAACGTATCCTAATTTTAATTCACTAATTAAATCCAGTTAAAATGATGATATAAAAAATTTTAAAATAACTTCTAATACAATTGTAACAGTTATTAAATTATTCAATTGCTTTTAATCGAACGCACTGAAAAATAATCTAACGATATAACTGAAGGAACTAAGTGCAAGAAACAAATTATTATCGCCTTAGAAAAAAAAAAGGTGAAATCAGTTTAAGTATGCAAGATTTTAAACTATTAGAAGAAATGGGAAACGAGGAAATATAGAAGGAACGAGGGCAT